ATGACCATTTTGCCCTTAGTTCATCTGTTTTCGGGTTATGCATTCTTGCTTCATTTGCTTGGCTCATTTGAGTTCCATGGCTTCATAGAGAGTCATTTTGGGGCCTTAGGAATGACGTACATCTCTTGAGGTCATTTGGCTTCTTTTGCTTCCGCATTTCGGGTCCGTTATCGGGTCAACTTCCGGTTCATCACTAACGCACTGGGTTGAGAAATCCGGGTCGTTACAAGTGGTATCAAAGCTCCTAGGTTTGAATACCTTGGACGACGGGTTTTGGGTGCTTATCATGCTTATGTTGCCATGCTCTATGTGTTTATATGTTTCATTATAATATGTTTTGGTTTGATAACATGTTTATGTGCTTACGTGCTACATGTGGTATGCCGTTTGTTTAGCATGATTTAATTATTATGTAAAGAGCATGACATATGATATATTCTAGATCATATTTGTATATGCATAACTGTGTTGCATATTTGGCATGACACGAGATTGGTCATTGAGGCTCGAGTTGAGGTTGATGGTGATTGTAGTCACGGTTGTATTATAGTTTAGGTTGTTGTTGACCCAGAGTTGGTTTTGAGGTAGGCGGAGAGACACCTTTTGTTTAGGCTCTCGTGGGGTGAGACATTAGGCACAACCGTAGTACTGGATTTGTTGATTTTAGGCCATGGTTAGGTTTTGGACCTTTTGGGATCCTTGGTTGTTTTGGAAGGTTCCTCTGAGATTGCAATTTTTGTGGGCGGGTACGTTGTCGGCGGGTGCATGGCACTGTCATGCTACCGTACTGGCAAGCTACTAGTGCAGTTCGGATGGAATCAGCGTTAGGTTTTGTTTCGACAGGTGTAGTCCTTTTGATCGATAATGATGATAGTTGTTTTGGGGATCAGTCGTAGTGATCGATTTGGTTGTGTGATTGTATGGCTAGAGTTGCCATTTTCTTTGAGTTCTCCTTGCGCGATGACGCATTTGGGGTCAAGTCGACTGATAAATGTTTCGGGTAGAGAGAGCATTGCATTATTAGTGTCACTTGTAGTGTCACCCTTAGATTCAGAGATGGATTGTAAGAGTTTTACCATTGTGGTAAGGGTTCACGTTTGTTTTGAGACAGGTTGTTGTTGCATTGGTTTTTGGAGTCAGTGTATGGCTAGGACTGGTCCTTCCTTTTTACCTAGGCACTCTAGGACACGATGTCCATCGGGTTCATTATTGCATCACTTTTGTTTTCTGCCGTTTCATTTACTACCATGTTAGTAGTATGATTTATGATATTGTGATGCATGAGTAGGTGGAGGTCTATCCACGTTTTCCTTCTTGTTGTGTGGCAATAGCATACTTTTCTTATATGTTTCGAGATGCCATGTTGTTACTGCGCTTTAATGACATGCCTTTGTGTTTATGTGGAGACATGCAGCATGTGCTTTTGATTTTCATCTATGTAAGTAGATTTTCTTTCTGGTAGTTGCATTCCTTGTCATATGCATGACTTTCAGGTTTGGTTTTCCCATTCGTTTCCCTTGGTCGCACGTAGTCTGTATGTAGGTTTCCACAATGGTTTTGTGCTGGTTCGTGTTAGGGACTTCACAAGGAGTGAGTCTCTTCCTTCCGTTGCGTTGTGCACTGTTTTGGGGTTGGTTGGTCCATGAGGATCATCGTTGTTGTCTTGAGTCCTTGTGAGGATTTGATAGATTTTGGTCGACTTACTTCCATGTAGGGGGTGAAGTCGTTGACTTTGTTGTCTTTCATTTCAGAGATGGAGTCGTAGTGTTGTCCTTTTTAGGACTGGTAGTCCCCTTTCTTTCGTGTCTTCCCTTGGGGAGTTCCTGCCGTGGTTGTTGACGGTTGTGGTGCTCAAGTGAGTTGATTAGTGTGAGATCATTTTACGGAGACTTATGTCCATATCTTTGAGGATTGTTTGATTCGTGAGGTGAGCTCGATGCTTTTTTGAGAATGTCTTTTGGAGACTTGTTCCAGTTTTGGAGGCCTGGATGTGGTTGACTCTTAGGAGGAGTTTTGGAGGATCGTTGTTGGATATGGCTTGCTTGTGGAGTTTTCTCGTTCTAGTTATGACTAGGCATGGCCTTGAGGAATCGTAGTTCCAGTGGTTGTTTATAGATGGATCGAAATTGAGGAATTTTGATTTAGCTTGGTGTTGTCAAGTACGATTTTGAGAGACTCGTTCTATGACCTTGGTTGTCAAGATTTTGATGTGTGTGCTACTTCGTGGACTTGTATTTCGAGGATCTAGTTATCCGTGATAGGGATTTTGATCCGATGTTTGATTACGGTGAGTAGTCTTATAGTTGATCTATTTTAGGATGATATTTGGGATTTTGGAGATGCTGTTTTGCTTGTCAGATTTTGGATTCATAATTGATGTTGTTGATAGTAGTGTTTTGAGATGTTAAAATTGTTGGTCTTTTTGTATTGAGGATTTAAGGCCTTAAGCGTAGCGGTACCTATGGCATTGTTATCAAAGTTTTGGGATTGGCCAGGATGGTCCGACCGGATATCTTTGGACCATATCTCAACTCTCACAAAATGTTGGTTTCCGTTGTGCTTTTGGTAATGATCATTTTTGACATTGAAGTCATTTGTATCGAGAGGTTTCATGGGTAGACCAAGTGGGGACAGGTTATGAATTGGTGCCTTATACTGTCATACTACCGTACAAGTTGTATACTGTGGACGGGTGCTAGTTGCCGTCGATGCTACCTTACTGACGAGTAAGTGTGGGCGGACACTAGGAATTGTCATTGCTACCACACATTTGAGTACGTCGTGGGCGGGTTTTGGTCGTTATTCGTACTGTCATGTCGCCTTTGTTTAGTACTTTGATTTGATTCATGGATATCTTGGAGTTCTGTTGGTGGTTGTTTTTGGTTCCTTATGATGGTTCGTCAGGAGGGGTGCTTTCGATTGTTGTCTTCCATTCCCTCGTCTGGCCTTAAGTTCTGTGTGTGAGTTTCAACTTGTGGTGTGGCCATGTGATCACTTTTCTTTTGAGGGGTTGTCCTGTCGTGAGCACGTGGGTGCGAATGACATGGGGTTGTTTTGGGATTGCTTTCGTAGTATGTTGTGAGGGATACTCTGAGATGTACTCCGTAGTTATCCTAGTTTCGCCTTTTTGTTTTGTTGGGGCTAGATTTCGGGGACGAAATCCCTTTAAGGTGGGAAGGTTGTAATGACCTGGTCATTTTTCTTCTTTTCCTTTTTCTCAGATTTTAACGGATATTTTTTTTCCGTTGTCTTTTCCTTTTTGGGTTCGGTTTTTCATCACTTGATGTCGTCTCGAGTGCTCTGGAATGATTTTCGAGACACTTTTCCTTGGATTGACAACTTCCTTTAGGGATTGTGTCATTTCCATATTTTATTTTTCCGAACATTATTCACATTTTGTCTTTTTCTCGTTTATCCTTTTTCCTTGCAAAACCTCACTTTTTGTGCTCAGATTTGATTCTAGTTTTGCATGCATTCATGATATTTGATTTCCATGATAGTAGTATTTTTACTTTTCTAGAAAAGCATGTTGATTGCTTACTTCTTTCATAAAGGGGCATTAATGCGTACTTTAGTGTAATTATTCTTAACTTGTGGGGTTTTAGTGTAATTAAATAAAGTAATTATCTTTCATCTTATGGACCATTTTGTAATTAAATTTGGAAGATATTTTCAAAATTGACCTTTTTGAAATTTTTGAAAAGTGTGACAAGTGTCACACTCTCATTGGTCCGCTTGTTGACATTTGTGTGGAAACACTTTAATACATTGGATGATGACATTTGGAGGGTATGATTCACCCACTTGTTGGCCTAGGATTGGTGCACTTGTTGGCTTGGATGGTTGACAATGTAGGTGTGAGATTAAGCCTAGGAATGAGCCATGGATTGGTGACAAGTGTATGTTCACAATTTAGTCTTACAAATATCTTTGGGCCACTTTGGGATTATGGTTTTAAAGGAGGGTTTTTGTGCAATTGACCATAGATGTGTGTGTTGATCAAGGTGTAAGAGCACATAATAAGTGGAGGATTTCTATTTCCTCCACTCACACTTAACCACATTATTTCATTCTCTTCCTTAGAAGAAAACCCTAGCCTCCATGGATGGAGCTTGAAGCCTTAAGCATTGACCTTGATCTTTAAGGCCCTTCCACTTACTTTAGACCATAAAGCTTGGAATACTTTTTGTTCCCCTCATCCTCCTCTTCAAAACTCTTGAAGGATCTAGCTTAACTCCTAGTTTTTCTTTGGTATCTGGAGATTCAATTCTCTAGTGAGGTATTGATCTATTATTTTGAAGTATTTTTATGTCATTAATGAGTGTTTTACATGCATAGAAGAGAAGGACTACTATTTTGCCCTTAAACTGTTTTAACTTGAAATTAATCTTGTCAAATTAAATATAGAATATGAAAATATTCTCAATTAGCTTTCATTTAGTTTTGGTTTCATGTAATTTGGATTTAAAATGAATTAGTTATGAATTTTTGAAGTTGCAAGCTAGTTGTTGGAAATTTGAAGCTTTTCCTTTTTGGTCCGGAAATGAATATTTATATGGAGCTATGGTTCTTCAATTGCCTTAAAATTTTTACTAGAACTTCCTTCATAGGCTTTACACTACTCAGAATTTTTTCACGATTTTAGAGCGTTTCTAAATTTTTTTTAAAATCCGAAACTATCTACTGTCCATGTTTTTATTGCAGCTGGAAAACATATTTTTAGATGATTTATTTCACTAACCTTTTGACATTCGATCATGACTTAAATTTTCAGTTTTACACTCTCATATGTTTACTTCCAAGATAAATTAGTTTTGCCCAATTTGGATGTCAAATGAATTTTTCATGAATTTTCAAAGTTGGAAGCTACAGGCTGAAAATGTGTTTTCTGGGCAGAATTTGTTTCAAATTTGTGGGTCAAAACTGTTTCAATTGGGAAAATATTTTGTTAAACTAAAATGATATTATCAAATTAAAGTTTTTAAGCTTTCATTGGGCTTTGGATTCATTCAATTTGGGTTAGAATTGAATTTTTTATGAATTTTATAAGTTGAAGGTAGCAAGCTGAAAAATCTGTTTTGCGGACCGAAAATTTGGGGCTATTTCATTTCGGTGGTAATTGGGATTTTCATTCCAATTGAGGTAGGGAATGTTTTAGGATTATTTGTATGTTGTATTGTGTGTTTGCCATGATTATACAATATATATGTATACCTTGTATCAAATCTAGAAAGTTAGTAATTTTTATTTCTTTGTATAAGATTTAAAATTTATGATGATGTATAACTTTGATTTGAATTGTAACATGCTATGAAATTATGCTTAGATATGTTGGTTAACATATATTAAATTTGGATCATTTGATTAAGAATTACAACTTTTATTTAATATTTATCTTTAGTGAAAGTTTAATTCACATGGTTTTATCAAGCATTAAATCAAGTTGTATGTGGTATTTAAATAGACCTTGGCATGTTCTCTAATATAGATTAAATTGAGAGCATTTGGAATTGTTTAAAAATCTAGAGGAAATTAATTAATTAGCTTGATTAATTTTGTTTTAAGTGTTTTAATAACTTAACTTGTCATTCAATGTTATGTATATGATGACCATGACATATTTTTCAATATATATTAAATTAAGGTTATTTGGATTAACTTGGAATTTAGAGAATTTAACTATTTATATTTAATTAAATTCTACTTTATTACTCCATGGATTTAATTGCATTTTGGAAGTTGTTTCTATATTTAAATCATGGATTTGGATTTGATGTATGTTCACTTGATTACTTTTGAGCATTAGATAGCATAGTTGTTACTTTTATATTCATGAGAATATGTTTTTCCTTATTGAATATATTGTTACTATGTGTAAGGAATTGCACACTTTGTATTTGACATCTTACATGCCACAGTAGTTGTGAATTTTGAGCATGTATTATATAAGTTTCCAAAATTTGGATTGTGCTTGGTAAATAGTTGATATCTTGTATATACATGTTGATATATATACGTTGTTACACAATTTGTTGATTTTAGAAACTTGAGAATATCGTTGTTTGGCTACAGCTAGGACTTGGTTCTAGTACGGGGGATTGTCCCTCTATATAGTCTAGTGCGCACATAGGGAGGTTACCCATGGGCTAGTAACCCTAAAGTAACTATGTTATCGGTCTGATCCGGCGTGACGTCCGAGTATCCACTTTGTTTGATTTTGTATTTCATTTCAAGTTGATAACTAGATGATATCGTAAATTGTTGTTCCTTATTTGATTTCCTATTTTGAGCTTAAGATGTAGCTTTGTGCAAGCATGTTTCATGCGTTGTATTGGAAGTTCCATTGTTGGTTAAATTGCATCGATATCATAATTTGTGTTTTGATATTCAAATGTAGTTTAAGAATGACCTTATAGATTCATTTTGAACATAAACGTTAGGTGGCATGACCCACACTTGTTGTTTTCGTATTTTGGATTTCATGTTGAAGAGTTTGAGAATCTATATCTTGTTGCCTTGTATAACATGTTTCCATGTTGTTTGAATTGCATGAACAATGTGATTATGATAGAAATGATCTAGGTAGCTTAGAATGCTCCCTGGGTCTCATATTGACATAGACGTTAGGTGCCATGAGCCTCTTTAACATGTTTCACCATAAGGTAATAAAATTGTAAAATGCTAGGTCGATGCATGCTCATCTTCTACGAGTAGCTTTATGTTACTCACCCCTACGATACTGGGGCATATTTCAGGTACAGGACTCGGGATTTGAAGATTCCATTGCTCCTTGGATGGCTTACAGTTTCTAAGTTTCTTTTTTATGCAAGTGTTAGCACAAGATGCCTCTTTGTAGCCCTATTTGTTTAAACTTGTATTCGTTGATTCGTATATGTAAAGTATATGTAAGTGCACTCTTTTCAATGTATTTAACATGTATGAGATGAGGCCGGAGTCCAATGACATGTATCTCATTTTCTATGCACTTTTGTTTTCAAAGTTTATTATGAAAATATTAGAAAATGTTAAGTCATTGCTTCATAACTTTCGCATCGGGTGTTGGAATTTCATATCTTTTCTGCCCAGACTCAGAATTAGATGATTCTTGAGTCTAATTTTGTTCATTTTTTGTTGTCCTTCCAATGGTGTGCACGGTGGCACCCTTTTCAGTGAAAAATGACCATTTTGCCCTTAGTTCATCTCTTTTCGGGTTAGGCATTCTTGCTTCATTTGCTTGGCTCATTTGAGTTCCGTGGCTTCATGGACAGTCATTTTGGGGCCTTAGGGATGACATACATCTCTTGAGGTCATTTGGCTTCTTTCGCTTCCGCATTTCGGGTCCGTTATCGGGTCAACTTCCGGTTCATCACTAACACACTGGGTTGAGAAATTCGGGTCGTTACAAAACTAATTGCCATTTGGGCATGTCATGATGTGGACACTTCCTAAACAATTCATTGAAGCATTCCCATGCCTCATGAAACGTTTCTCCATCCCCATGTGAAAATTCTCGAATTGAGGTCCTCATGACATTGGTCTTAGAAACCGGATAGTACTTCTTCAAGAACTCTTGTTGCATTTCTGCCCAATAAGTGATTGAAAAAGGTCTAAGATTGTTAAACCAATACTTTGCCTTATCTTTTAAGGTGAATGGAAAAAGTTTGAGTCTTAAAACCTCTTCCGGCATGTCTGTATATTTTACGGTAGAACATACTTCAAGAAACTCATCCAAATGCTTGTAAGGCTCTTCACTTGGAAGTCCATGATAGTTAGGAAGCATTTGAATGGTTTGTGGCTTAATTTCATAATGATGCGCTCTAAATGGAGGCAATTGGATGCATGTATGTGCATTATACTCATGAGGCACATAATGGTCTCTTAAAGCAAGAGGTGGATTAGCTACTTGAGGTGCAACATGAACACCTTGATTTTGAATTCCTTGATTGTTGATGGGAGGTTGTGGGGCATACATTGGCCTTGTCATTCCATATGGAACTTAGCCTTATTGTTGTGGTGGTTGGTGAATGAATGGCCTAGGCATGCCTAAAGGTACTTGTATATTCTTATTGTGCACATTGGGATGAAGGATACCTTGTTGGTCTATGTGATCAATGTCCTCAACATGATCATCATTATGGTCATCCATTGAAAGATTGGCTCTTTTTGAACTTCCTCTTCCCCTAGGATTTCTAACGATAGATTCAAGATGCAAATCAAAAGGGACAAGAGTCGGTCTCAATGAACGACGTCTATGCATGCACAATGCAAAACATAACAAACACAAAGAATGACAGACACTATGCCTTCACAATAATGCAATTAGACTTCTTCCACAAACACTTAATTCATACTCCCATGCTTTAACAACAATGATACAAGACAATAAAAAATAAGCCTCAACGCGGGCCGACGATTTAACTAAGGGATTGAGTAGAGAAAGTCTCACAAAGGTCCTTTAGCACTTCAACTCCAAATTTAAAGCTTAGCTTAGCAAATTTTTAGAATTTTTAGGGCCCGTTTACTAACGCTTTCACTTTCTTACTTTTACTTTCTTCAAAAGTAAAATTATAAGTTTCATTTCTTGAATCTAAAATATAAAGTAAAATACGTTCATTAAATCCATACTACTTTCAAAATTTTGAAAGTAAAATAAGAAAAGTAAGTTTAATAATTTTGTTTTTATTTTTATTTTCATATATAAAAGTAAAAACCAAGAAAACCACAAAAGTCGAATACCACAAGATCAAAAAAAAAAAAAAATTTGTTCCTCTACAAAACCCATTTCCAGATCCATACCAAGCCCTCACCCATCTAAGCCTCCACGGCCTTAACCAGATGTTTCTCTCTTAAAGCCCTCTGCAAAAATTGTTCATTCTCTGCTTTTGACCTACCAATCATTCCTCCATTCATCCCCAAATTGTCGTCGTCCTCTAAAATTCTCGGCCGTGAAGAATTTTTTGGGTTGTTGTGAGCGTTCTTCTTCTCCTACAACGACGACGCCGGAATCAACCGGTTGCCGGTTGATCAGAGACATTTTCAAGTATGGAGAGAAACGCCCAATGCTATAGAAGTTGGGCATAGAAATCTTAACCAGTTTGGCATTGGAAGAGGATGCAAAGGAGATGATTAGTGGCACTAGTGGAATTCTTAAGGATTTGTTCAACATTTTCTTTGAATAAGTGATACCTGAATTCAAAATATGTAAGAATTGCAGCTGGAGAAGCACTAGCAATGCTGACATTAGAAAGTAAGAGTAATTCTCATCGCATCTGATCTTGTGTGTAAGAGATGGGTAGCATGCTTCTTGCATCTGATATCAATACACACAAATGATTACAAACATATATATATATATATATATATATATACAACCTATGTATATAGGTGCGATTCTAGTTGAATTCACCTCTGTATTCCATGGGTATATAGAAAAAGTATAGAGAGAGATTGATGAGGCTGATATTCGCCCCTTATAGACCATTTCCAAACCAAAAATCCATCCAACAACCAAAACAAAATCCATTAGCTCCTATTAGTGAGCCATCCCTCTCAATCTCTCTCTATATACTGTATGTGGATGCTGGAATCCATGGAAACCAGAGCCTCAAACTTGGGTCTCCCTCTCCGATGCCGGAATTCACGGACAAACTGACTGGGAATAAAACTTTGGAGTATGAATTGCTTGTGGATGCAAATTTGGGTCTCCTTCTCCGATGCCCAATTGCCGGATTCCTTGCTCATATCGTCACAGTCTCATCGTTGTTCGGTTCGCTGATAAGTTCAGTCCAGCCTCAGCTTAGAGAAACTGCTCGCCGCCGCTGTTCATCTACTTTCAGCCAAGTGGGCTTAAGTTAAACCAGTAGAGAGATAAATTAGAGAGAGAAAGTGATGAAGGGGTTTCAACTTGCTCTTTCAAAACGATGAAGCCTGAAGGGGTTTCAATTTTCAATGGCTGATCGACGGGTGTTTGGTAGCAGTTTGTGGTGGTAGAGAGAAGACAGATGGTATAAGAAGGGGTGATACGGGTGAGCAGTTCTACTACAGTGGAAAAAACAAGAAAGTAAAGATTTCTCACTTTCTCTCCTCTTAACAAAATTGGGAAGTACTTTCTTAAAACAAAAAAGCAAAGTATTTTACTAAACATAATTTTTACTTTTGATTCTCGATTTTAAGAATTGATAGTAAAAATCAGGAATCATTCCTGTTAGTAAACAGGCCCTTAGCTTTTTACTTTCTTGCTTGCTTGAATTGAATGCTCGATGGCTCCTTTGTTTGCTTCCTCTCCAACAATGCATCTAGTTAAGTAAGAACAACTCAATAAGTAACCAAAAAGAAAAATATAAGTAAAGTAAAGACACGATAAAAGAGTACTAATCCTAATCAATTCCACAAATCTGACGTTGCCTAATCTAATCAATCAATTACCGGCAACGGCGCTAAAAACTGCTCTGATGGGGGTCGTCGTCCTACCATAAGCTTAAGAGTATGCATTAAGGCGAGGGCCAATAGTTTTACATTTATAGAAACCACTACTACCTTCGCTAAAAAAATATAGCTAGGGAGAGTAGAGATCGTCCCAAGGGATTATGAGGATCAAGCAATGTCGTGGAATTGTTATTAGGGCTAGTAGGTCGAGTGATCAAACAATTGGTTGGTTGGTTGATTAAAGAGCAACTAAATTAAACTAAGTGATAGCAAAGAATGCAATTAAGAGTAAGTAAGAGAGAGAGATCTTGGGGTGTAGAGATCACCACCAAGCAATGCATTTCTATATCATTGACAAGTGATTAATGAGGGCAAATGGTGTGTTGCAATATTGGTGTGTGTGAGTTTGGTTGATTCAACAAGTAACACTACAAGAAATTCGGGTTTTAGGGACAGTCGAAACTGTCCCTAAAAGTACCAAATCCGTCCCTAAAAGTCAGTTTGGACCGTCACTAAAAGTTGTGTGCCAAAAGAGCTTTAGGGACGGTCAAAGTTGACCGTCCCTAATACTTTTGACCTTTAGGGACAGTCCAACCTGTCCCAAATAACACCGTCCCTAAAACTTTTTAGGGACGGCCAAAACTGTCACTAATAAGGTACGAATTAGGGACAGTTTAAATGACTGTCCCCAAAAACTAGAGTATTAGGGACAGATAGACCGTCCCTAATACATAATTTTTCAATTATAATTATTGTATTAGGGACGGACAGACCGTCCCTAATAGATTATTTTAATTATATATTTTAATATATTATTGTATTAGGGACGATCAGACCGTCCTTAATACATTATTTTTAATTATATATTTTAATATATATTGTATTAGGGACGGCCACACCGTCCCTAATATATTATTTTAATTATATATTTTAATATATATTGTATTAGGGACGGTCAGGACCGTCCCTAATACATTATTTTTAATTATATATTTTCATATATTGTATTAGGGACGGTCAGACCATCCCTAATAGATTAATTTAATTATATATTTTAATATATTATTGTATTAGGGACGGTCAGGACCGTCCCTAATACATTATTTTAATTATATATTTTAATATATTAATGTATTAGGGACGGTCAGACCGTCCCTAATACATTAATTAAATTATATATTTTAATATATTAATGTATTAGGGACGGTCAGACCGTCCCTAATACATTAATTTAATTGTATATTTTAATATATTATTGTATTAGGGACAGTCAGGACCGTCCCTAATACATTATTTGAATTATATATTTTAATATATTAATGTATTAGGGACGGTCAGGACCGTCCCTAATACATTATTTTTAATTATATATTTTAATATATTATTGTATTAGGGACGGTCAGGACCGTCACTAATACATTATTTTTAATTATAATTATTATATTAAACCGTCTATATATATATATATTGTATGCTTAATTTGTGAATTTAACCATTCCGGATACATACATACAAAACATATACAAAATAGATCCACAATAACATTCAAAAAAATATTACTATCCATAGAATAAAATCAATCCACAATATATATATTCAAGATCCATAAAATATAAAATCTCTAGTTTTCTAAACAAAAACTAAAACCATGTGGTAGCACAAAAAATTGTTCCATCCTCTTCAAGATCCATTATTCATTCTGTTGGTGGTTGTGGTGGTGCTTGCTGGTGAGACCATGTTGGTGGCGGCAGCTGATATTGCCATCTTGTTGTTGGTGGCGGCTGCTGAAAATACGAGTCTGCTGGAGGTGGCGGTGGTTGTTGATGCCAATTTGGTGCGGTTTGCTGCTGTTGGGAATCTGATGGAGACTGTTGTTGGTGGAACCATGGTGGCGACTGCTGCTGCTGTTGGAATTTTAGAAGTTACACTAATAAATATGTAAAACAAACGAGCACAGACCTAACCTAGAAAGATAACTATACTACATCAAGTCTGCTTCAACCTAATCTTATTAATGACTATGGTGCTCTACCAAGCATCAACTAATAGAATTGGTGTGAGCAAATACCTCCTCAATTTAAATGTTGATGCATATATGTCTTTCTATATACAATTTTAAATTTTTATAGTTTGTGATGCATGTTACATAAATCACTTGAATATAAATATGTGCCGGATCAATGGACTCATATTTTTTTCTAATAAAATACTAGAGCACAGAAGAATGATATAGATGGGGTAATTAAATTTTTTTTTTTATTAAATTTATTATTTAGTATAAGTGTGACCTCTTCATTTCACTTATTTCTTTGTCTTTTAACTTCATTTCAATTCTATCTTGACCTAATGTAGTTTAACGTTTAATGGCATGGTCAGGAAGTTGATAGCCCATATCCTAAAATGTTGATAAATCAACAAATCTCCTAAGAAGAATTCATAACAGAAGTTTTATTTTTCAGTTTGTGTTGGATATTTCGGAGGGGGAAAGGGCACATATTGATAGTTCCCTTCAACGTCCTGCATTGGAACATCTCAGCAATTTTTTTTTGGCGAAGTAGGTATTGAATATATGAAACATAAAAAGATTAAACGGAATAAAATAAAATTAAAAAAAAATAAGAAAAAAAAAATAAGAAAAAGAAAAAATAAGAAAAGAAATTGACAGTTGCAAGTTCAGAAGCACTACATACCAGAAGTCGGCTGATTCCTTTCCCAGCCAATATCTCTGGTGAAGTCAGCACAAACTTTTCAGCAATAAGTGCACAACATGAACATTCCTGCATTTGCAGATCAGCATGTTCATCCAACTAAACTAGAGACAGAAAATGTACTGGTCGGTATAAAAATTTAAACTAGGTATATGCATATACATACGTGTAAGAATTAAACTTTCTCCAATTAAATTAGTTAAAATATATTTTACCTTTTAAAAAAAATAATAAATAGAAAAACAATAAAAGACAGATTATGCACATCTTTTAAATAATATTTCAAACATTTTCATAGAGAAGATATATATATAATACCTGCCAATATTATAATATCACACTACTTTAAAATTTTCAAACAACAATTCTAAAAATCAAACTTCTATAACTTATTGGGAATAATATAATAGACATAGAGTAACAGTTGAAGCAAAGGGGCAACAGCTAAATCAAGGCTGGCATGCACAATTCTGCTTGATAATCAACAATTGAAGCAGAAAAAAATAGAAGAATAAAAAAACAAATTAAAAAAAAAAAAGAAGGAAGAGAGAGAGAGCATGGAAAACCTGTTGAAATCCCTAATTTCCTTGTTCCTAGCTTTATAAAACCAACTTGGCGGGGTTCTTTTTTCTAGAATGACCATTATGCATTATGCATTTTATATATTCCCTTGGAATATTAAGAACTTTAGAAAATCAACAATCTTCCTAGAACTTTAATAATGAAATTTTTTTTAAAATACTGATTTGTTTTTTTGGGTCAGTTGTGTCTATGGTGAAATTACTGCTGCAGAAAGAAAGGAATTGTGGAGATGTCTTATGGATATGGCTTCTAAGATTACAAAGGCATGGTTACTTATTGGTGATTGGAATATTGTTAGATATAATCATGAGAAAATTGGTGGCAAATCTTTATCAATTAAGGTGTTGAAGGATTTCAATGACGTTATTGATCTCTTAACTCCTGTTGATATTCCTGTTCTTAATGGCACTTATACATGGTGTAATAAGAGATAGTTTTCACGTAGAATTTATCTTCAGCTGGACAGAGGGTTGATGAATGAAGAATGGAGTGACCTTTTTCCTTTTTCTCAAATTGAACTTACTCCTCCTTTAGCTTCAGACCATTGGGGGATATGTGTACAAGTTCCTTTGCAGGTTGCTTCAGGTTCAAAACCCTTTAGATTTTTTCATTTGTGGAATGCTCAACCTATGGTTAAATAAGTGGTGGCTGAGGCTTGGCAAATGGTAGTGGTTAGAGATCCAATTGCTAGGGTTATTAAAAAGCTGAAAGGGGGTGAAACAAGCTATTAAGATTTGGAATATAACCAAGTTTGGTTCAGTTTTTGAGAGGTTAATTACTGCTAAGAAGGATCTTGAGGATTGTCAGAGAGATTTATTTCAGTTTCCTTCTAATGATAATCTTATTCAGAAAAAGGATGACGCTTGAAGAGAATATGAAATTGCTCAGTCTAATGAGGAGCTTTTGCTTTTTTAGAAGGCTAGAGTAAGTTGGATTAAAGACCAAGATCAATGTTCAAAGTTTTTTTATCAGAAGATTAAGGCTCGGAGAGTGAAAAATAACATTACTAAACTTCAGGATGATGTTGGTAATTTGATTCATAATGATATTGGTATTCGAAATAAGCTTTTAAATTACTATACTGAAATGTTCTCATCTAAAGGCCAGTATAGTATTCCAGCGGCAGAGTATGTTAGGAATGTTCTTACTCCTGAGGAAGCAGGGTATCTTGAGAGACTTATTACAGGGGAGGAAATCAAGACCACTATATTTTCAATGGGAGCTGATAAAACTCTTGGCCCTGATGGCTTTCCTATGAAATTCTTTAAGGTTTATTGGGATATTGTTGGGGAGGATGTTACTAATGCAGTGTTGCATTTTTTTGTTCATTCTTCTTTGGATAAGG